GCCTCACAACAAAGAAGCAGGAATGAACTTATTGGAATGAGAATAGATGAAATACAATAAGAAAAGGTGAGCTTTTATGGAGAGATGGAGAAGATCAACCATGTAAACACTGCAATTAGTCTTTCATGTACCAATCTGCTTCCTCCCCAGAGTTTCATCTCCAAATTGTTCACCTTTACAAAAAAATTTTATTCTTACTATTATTATTATTATATTTGACATTAGGGTATCAAAAATAATGCCTTTTTATTTTTTTCTTGCGAGGGGAACAAGATCTAACCTGGGATTCTTTCTGTTAAAGGCACAAATGACAGTGAACTTGGTGTAAGCCTCATCCAAAGACCACAGCAACAGACAGAATTGCCTCTGTCATGTCTTTGGTGTTACTGAAGTTTTTAAGGCCAAAATTACTACTCAGGGCTATGGTTTTTTTCATTTTTGAGAGGGTTTTCTTATTTTTTGATTTGGGAAAATGTTAACACCCTTACTATAATCCCAAGAGTTTATTCTGAATCTGACTCAATGCATTTCATTGGTTGGGAAGAATTATACTGACCCTTATAAATATCAGCTTCACAAAACCTTCAGCTTTTGCATCTGGTCCTGGTTAGTTCCACAGCTTGATTTTCAAACAAGCAAACAAAATATCCTAGATATTCTCACAACTGATCTGAACTTTATACAGAAAAATCCATGAACATTTTTAGGAACTCTCAGTTTGTAAGGAGTACAGATAAATTTTATCTGGTGTGGTTTAACTTCAAATATGATCACTTGATACATTGGAATGGAAAAATCTAAACACAACCACTTCTGTAGGCATGCCAGCACAAACACATCCTTCATTATTCCTTGTCAGTTGGAGCTTAAAATTAGAAAATTTCAAGCCAATAAATGAAAGCTCAGAATCTTTACACATTTATGCCAAATCTGTTCTGTTTGTGTTACTACCAGATTAAAAAGGCTGGATAGAAGTGTTTCTGCAGTGTGCTTGAGCTGACCCAGAGGCAGCAAACTGGCAGCTCATGCCCTTTTAAGAGACCTCAAAATTAAAGATTGTTTTAGTCTCTTATGTGTCTCTTGAAAGGGTTGGGAAGTGTGAGTTAGGATGTGTGTTACACCCCAGCACAAACTGAGGACAGGTTACTGAGTTCATTGCCACACTTTCCCTTTGCTAAAATCAGCCTTTGTCCAGGTCAGCTGAAAAGGCAAACAAGGCAGGAATTTAACTCAATACATAACCTGAGTCTATTGTAGCAGCTCTGAGGGGTAGCAAACCTAAGGCACAGGACGTGCAGACCTTTCTCTCTGCAGCACACAAGCTCTGAACAGTGCCGTGCTCAGCAGTGCAGATGTAACAGTGGGCCTAGAAAGAAATACAAAAGACTTTGTATTTGATAAAAACCACTCTATAAAAGATACTCTATGCTCTTTTTCAAATCAGTATATGCATTTGCTACTTTTTTTTTAATGGGCTAAACAATAAAAGAAAATAATTTCCCCATCATGGGAAAAATAGACTTAAAAGAAATGAGTCTGTGCATTTAGGAAAGAGCTTACATCAGTTTCTTATTTTACTGTTTTTTTAGGTTCTCCAGGCTTCCTTTCAACAGTGTTTCTGCTTTGATGTCTTGCTCTCTACCCAGATTGCCAGAAGGCTTTCTGTTGCAAATGCAGGTGTTTTCAACTGTTAGATACAGTTGTGTTGTATTATTCATCACCTCGATATAAAAATGTATTAGTGGGACACTTATTTTACACAGAGGACAAAACAGGGATAATTGGAAAGATGGCAGACTGTATATAGAGGAAGATGTTGCTTAGTGAGACATGTTTGGCAGTGGAGGAGACAGGTTTGCATCTGCCTTGCTGCTGTTTCATGGATCAGTCCTTGAACCTTTAAAGCACAGCTTTTCTAACAGGCTGCCTTGCCCATCAGGCTGGCATCTCAAACTAATTAAACATGGCTTTTGAGAAGTACAGCTCTATTCACAGAGAGCACCTAGAAATCATCATGGTATGTCAGGGTTATTTGTTACATGCTGGTGCTTTTTCCTGGTTTTTGTTGTTTTAGTGCTTGGTAAAGACCTGTGTGTGTGAGGCCAGGACTTCCCTGAGCTGCTGGGAATTACCAGAGATGCCAGTGAATGGATCTGCATGTCAAGGGCAATCTCGAGGCTTGTTACACAGTAAAATGAACACCTCAGTCCTGCTCCTGACAAGGATTTCTCTGTAACACTTGCCCTGTCATTCAGAGATAGCTCTGTGTGCCACACAGACAAAGCAGAGGGACATCCAGAGAAGGCTGGCGAGCCATGACCCTGCTCAGAGTTAGAGAAGTGCAATAACCCTGCTCATAACATTGTCAGCTGCAGAGGATTGGTATTCACCTTTCACTCCTCTCAGCTTCTTCAGAAATGGAGGCAGAATTTCTCACTCATTGCTGGTGAGAAAGAACCAAACCTGGACAGTGAAACCATATAAAACATATTTACCAGAGATGGTAAAGGGATGAAGGAGAATTAGGTGGGGAAGGATGAGGAAAAGGGCTGGGGGCATAAGTAAACTATTCAAAAGCAGATAAAATGCCAGAAAACTGTTTTCCCTTTCTTCCCATAAAATATTTCTTATCTTTCTTCTCCTCTGCCAGCTTTCCCTGGATGGACATTATGCTTGGTGCATGTCCATCTTTCAGGGCACCCTGGCAGTCTCTCATTTTGAGCGCCTGGTAGCTCTGTATGCTTTCTGTCTGTGAATCCAAACATGATCTTGGGCTGTTCAATGGGCAGTAAGGCACTTTCGTGTTTTGTATCACTCCAAAGTTCAGAGGCATCTTTTTGATGTGCGTGCATTTGCTCATCTACCAACCTTTACACTTGCGGCTTTTTGAAAATAGATATTCTAATCATCAGTCCTGAGAACTTTTGTCTCTGAACACAGGGAGCTCTTCTGTTGTCTTTCATCTCTTCCGAAGAAGCCTCGGTGCTTAAAAAGCAGGCAGCTTAGCACCAGGAGCTGGGAATCTCTCCTCAGCCGCCTCCTCATGCTAATAGCACTGCCAGGTGGTGGTGAAGCTGTTGTTTCACAGCTCCAGGTTGTGCCTGACTGCAATGGAGGGAGGTCTGTCAAATCCAAAGCAGCACAACATTTTATTTGTATGGATAGGAGAGAATTCTTCCTTAAAAGCAGATCTTGTTTGGACTTCTGGAACAGGTTTAAATTCTGGTTTCTGGATTTGAAATAGCCTCTGACAGCTCATGAGAGTGAGGAACATGATAACGTTTGTGTTGCTAGCTAAGCATGCCATCTTCTGTTGACTCTGCTGGCTTCCTGGCCCTGGCCACGATCTTTGGTAGTGAATCTAACCCTAGAGTTAAGTTGAGTGAAAAAGTATCTCCTTCAATCTGTTTCTAATTTTCCAAGCTATAATAGTCTCCTTGCTTTTTATGCTATAAACCCAAAATGAGGGTTCTTTTTCTGGTCTACTCTACCATTTCACATACCTCTAAACTCCCCATCTCTATTTTCTTAGATGAAGCTTTTCTTTTTTCTTTTCCTTTTTTTTTTTTTTTTTGACTCTCTGCTCAGATGAGCATCTTTCCAGAGCCTTAATCATTCATCTTTCCTTTTAATTCTACAGTCCTTGTGATGGGATAACCTGTACTGTGGCCTTCTTCCAGATGAGTTCACACATCAGGCAGAAGAGCAGTGTTGCAATTTGGGTACGGCTTAGCAGGTCAGAGCTTCACATCTTTGACACTAAGGTGCCTCTCACTATCTAAGCCTATCCAAGGTACAGTAAGTGCCACATTTAACTCTTTGGTTGTTTATTTCCCAACACCTGTTTTGGGAGAAAAGATGACTTCAGTTAACTTGTAAGTTGTCTTTAAATATCTCCCCCATATGCAGTACAAACATTACCTACAATAGAAGTTGTGAGATACTAGGGTCCAGACTGGCATTATTCAAAACAAATAGAGTTAGTATTTTTCATAAATCCCTATTTTTCACTAATTTTTTTGCTCAGGTCATGTTTCTTCCATGCAGTCAGTAACTGTTTCTATAAGCTTATAATCTGACACGGGATTTACAAGGTTTAAAAGGCTTTACTTCTGCTGTGGCTGTAGTGCTGGAGCAGAGCTGGTCGTACTGTGCTGAAAGGATGGGGTGGCCTGTACTACACCCATCCGTGCAGCAAAAGGTGGGTTCCCCAGGGCGCTGGGACTGTGCTCTGCTCCCGCCAGCCTCAGCTTCCCACCATGGTTTTCCCAGGAGAGCTGCCGGCGCTCTCGGCCGTGCCAGGGCCAGCAGGGGCGGCTGCGACCACCAGATCCCAAAAGCTCTCATCACCGCAAGGCATCCGCCCGCTGTTGGCAAACCGAAACCACGGATTCTGCCTTAAGGGCCGCGGTAAGCTCTTACTAACAGCCCCCAGGCCGTGCTTCCCCGACCATTTTGGGCTGAATTGCTGCAGTTCATACATTTTGGCGGTGGGCCGGGCTGAGAGGAGCCTGCGCGCCGGCTGCGCTCTCCTCGCACCTCTCCACGCCCGGGTCAGCCGAGAGCCGCCCGGCCAGCGCCGGACTCATGGCTCGGTCTCTGCCGCTGCCAGGGCTCGCCGTGCCGAGCCGAGCCGAGCGCAGCCCGTGCTCGTTCCCCGCGGCTGACGGGGCAGGGGCGGGCCCGGCGCGGAGGGCGGCTCGGCTCGGCTCGGCTCGGGGCGGCAGCGGGACCCGCCTCGCCCGGGCGATGCCTGAGCGCGGCGGCGGCGGCAGCGGGGGGGTGGGCGGGTAGCGGCAGCGGGGACGCGGCGCTGCTGCCCTGCCTTTCCCTGCCCGCCGCTGGCCCTTCCCCCGCCCCTCCCCGCTCCGGTGCGCGACTCAGCCGCCGCTCCGGGCAGGGAGGAAGGGCTGGGAGCCGCCTCCCGCTGCCCCCGGCCGCCCCCTCCCCATGCAGCCCGGCCCGCCGCTGGGAGCCCTCCCCGGGGGGATGTTTCTGCGGCCGCTGCCGGGATAACCGGCGCGCCGCCCGCCCCCGCCCCGGACGGAGGATGCTGCCCGCGCCGTGGCGGGTTCCGACTCGGACAGCAGCGGCCGCGTCCGCCTCCTCGGCTCCGGGCAGCGTCGCCGGGGAGAGATGAGTTCGCGGCACCAGGCGGACTGGATCCCTTACAGGTAGGGGGAGACCCCGGTGGGTGGGGCGGAGGCACCGGGGCTGCCCCTGGGCAGGAGCCGCTGCCCCTCGGGGGGTCCCCGCCGGAGCCCGCGGCTCGGTGCACGGTCGCGGGGCCGGGGCGGCCGGACCCTCCCGGGGCGCGGCGGGGCGGCGGTGGGTCCCGCGGGGGGGAGCGGATCGCGGGTCGGCCCGGGCGGGCGCTCCCCGGAGGGGCACCCGGTCCCGCCTCCCAACTTCGGGCCGGTGCCGCTGCGCGAAGTTCGGGGCCGCTCTCGGGGCGAGCTGTCAGCCCCGCGGGGAGCGGGCGGAGCGCGGAGCTGTCCTGCCCTGCGGCCCCGGCGGGCGGGCGGAGCGCTGCGCCCTCGGTGCCGGCTGCCGCCCTCGGGCTCGGCCGCGCTGCCCCCGCCGGCGGCGGCTCCGGGAGCGCGGCTGCGGGCGGGCGATGCGCGGGGCGGCCGCGGCCGGCGGTGCCGCCATGGCGGGGAGCGGGATCGCCATGGCAGCGCCCGGCCCGCCGCTGCCATTGGCTCCGCCGTTGCCATAAGCTACGGGAGCCGCGGCGCGGCGGCGGCCCGGGAGCCCCGTGCGTCAGCGGAGCGGCCCCGGTGCGCGGAGCCCGCGGAGCCCCTGCACCGCCAGCACCCGCAGCCCGGCCGGGGAGCGGGAACACCCGCGGCTGGAACGAGGGAATAGTTGGTATCAGACTTGCCGGACCGAGGGGAAACCGAGCCAAATATTTCCCTGCGAGCGGGATGGGCTATTCTAGTAATAGACCCCTTTCCGAGCCTGCTATCCAGAGTACATTAACATTGTGGGCTAGTTAGTTTGTTTTTGTTTTTAGTTTTCGTTAAAGTGTCTTTTTCAAGCTGAATTTTTACAAACGGATATCACGCGGGGTTTAACAAGGCGCTCTGAAAACGACAGAAAGCGTGTTTGTTTCATTTGTTTGGTTGTAAGTGAAACAAGGTAGATACAGTAACGTAGGAAACGAGGACAGAGGCTTATGGTGCGCCAGGGGAGGTTTAGGTTGGACACGAGGAAAAAGTTCTTCACAAAAAGGATGATTGGGTATTGGAATGAGCTGCCCGGGGCGGGGGTGGTGGAATCACCGTCCCTGGAGGTGTTTAAGGAACGACTGGATGTGGCACTCAGTGCCATGGTCTGGTTAAAACGATAGTATTCAGTCATATGTTGGACTTGATGATTTCAGCGGTCTTTTCCAACCTAGTTGATTCTGTGATAAACCTTTTATTTTTGTTGTCGGTAGAGACTTGTGAAATTAAAAATATGCACAGAGTGCATTTTTAAAGAAAGACAGCTGCTTAAGCAGGTTGGTTTAGTTTGCCACACACTCAATGACAGTGTTTGTATCAGAGGCATGCCTGCCACAACAAATGCAACGTGAGCACAAATGCATCACTCCTTAATACAGAGGGAAAAAAACCCCCCAAGATAGCTGCACAAGTGGAAATCTGCTATTTTGGTATGTGCACATCATAGTTCAAATCAGTAGAAGAATTAGAAAGAAAGAAACATGATTACAATGAATCTGAGAATATTGCCACTCTCTCAGCAATAGCACTTTCAGCCCATGCGTTTTGAAAAGATGTAAGGAATTGGCAATAAGCCTTCAAAAATGACTAGTGGATGCATTCTGATGCAATTTGAAGCCTTGTAATGAGGACAGAAATACCAGAGGAACAGCTGTTCATGGCTCATCCCAGCAGCAGTGGAAGAGTTTTTCTGTTCTCTCACTGTACACAAGGCTCTGCAGAGGCCAATGCCAAAACTTTGCTGAGGGGTTTCATAGCAGGGGCCCCAAAGAAGGAAATAAAACATCTCTATTTCTGCTCAGTGCAGCACAAACAGAGGGAGGCAAAGCAGCAAATCTCAGAGAAACACAAATTTAATGATACTCATGTCTTTTCTAACATAATGTTATTCTTGAATGTTAATGATGTGTTTATGGTCAGAAACTGCTGAAGACTGCTTAAAACCAAATGGCAACCAAACCACGGTTCTGCTCTGACGTGTCTTTATGTAGGCTTCTAACAGTGTTCTCTCAAGAAGCTGGCTTATTTCTCAGTCTTCAGAGGTAATTCTTGAACTAGAGGTATATTGTTGCAAATCTTATTGGACTTGTGTGTGTAAAGCATCCTCCAGGATCCCCTAAACATACTTGCCTGGGAAGCAGTGGTTTGTGAATGAATATGTGACTGAGTTTACACATGAAAGCACTGTGTGAGTAAATTAGGTCAAAGTACCATTTCGAGGGAGTGAAATATGCAAGGAGGAGGAGAGACCTGATGTGCACCCCTTGGAACAGATCATCTTCTCTCTGGGAGCAAAATGACCCGTGCTTATCTGCCCTCTTGCTTCACATTCCTGTTTACTGTGGTGAGTTCAGGGGTTGCTGACTCTCAGAGCCCCGAGGAAGGTTCAGCACCTTCTTTATGGTCTGGGTGGCATGTGACAGCCAAGGGTGTCACTGCTGCTCATGTGGGGGACAGAGCATAGGCTGCTGGGCACGCTGAAGTCTGGAAGGATGTATCCTTCTAGCAGTGGAACATATGTGCAGCTATATACCTGAATTAACTCAAGCAGAGAAGGATTGTATCTCTGCTAGTAAAATGTCATAATTTTCCTTTGAAGTGAAATGAGCCAGAGGGAGTCAGTTCCACGTGTGTCATGTACAATTCAGTAAGCAATCCACCTGCATGTCCACAACTCACAAACTTACACTTCCCCTTTTAAGGTGCTGAGAACATTTTGAGTGAGTTAACAAAAAATAGTAGGCAATTTTTTCAGTGTCAGTGCTAGTTCGTGCTGAGATAAATAAAAGGTTCATATTATTTGTGAGTTTGTGATTTCAGTGTTTTGTCCTTATCTCTTCTCATCCTCTCTTAAGTATTCTGCTTTTGAGATAATGATAGTCATAAGATGAGATTTCAGTTCACTAACATTATGAAAAATAGTTAGGAAGCTGTTTTTAAAAAGTAAATATATTGCATTTATTTTTATGGAACACATATCATAGAAATTTAAGCACATGATTAAGCACTTACTGAAGCTACACATCAGGTACAATGAGCTAGGAATTCTTTAAATTGTACTCATTTTTAACAATGTCTCTGCTCTTTTATAATAAAGAGTCAAAATAGTTTAGATGCAATTAAAAAAATAATCATTTGCAGTCCATGTAGCTGCCCTCAGCCCAAAAGTAATTTGCAATGGAAGTTAAGAGTAAGATGTAGCTTCTTGAAGAATTATGTTCTCAAGCACAGTAGTGTTTTCCTTTGGTATCCTTCAGCATTGTATTTTCCAGCAGAAAATACAATGCAGAAGTGTCTGGGAATCATTACAAATTCACAGGAGTTCTGGTTTTTTATTCAAAAGTGTGTTTTTGTTTCATATCTTTTTCTTGAACTCATTTTTAATTTATAGCATTTCTTAAATATAACATACTCATTTTTATTTTATGCTGGTGTGTCTTATGAATGTCTGTGAATAAATGAAGACATTCCTCATACTATAAAACTGCAGTCAAATAAAACTGCTGCTCAGTAGGATGAAAGTATCAGTAAACTCAGTTACAGTAAGACCCCTGTCTCTATTATTATTATTTGTTCTTATGTTTTCAGCTGCTTCTTTAACAATAAATCTTGATCCTGTAACTTTAAACGCAGCATTTACACAACCAGCTAACCTGTTCCATGAGAAATATCTAAACACCACCAGCTGAACAGCCCAATCCACAGAGGAATCAATTTAATGCAAGTCCCCAGGGTTCTCTGTGAAGTGTCTGTGTGATGCTTGGTTTGTGTGGATAAACCTGCCATGGCCAGAGGGGACCCCATGAACTGTGCCCTGAGGAGGGCTGGCACTTGGCACTGAAGGCACTGAAGAGAGCAGATGACACAGCCTGCCTTTGCACTGGCATAATATGTCTTGATATGTACATGATGGTGGTAATAATGCACATTATTTTTGTTTGTGACAGGATTTATTATGCTCAATTTTTGTAGCTTTCATGAATTTGTTCTGAAGTTTTAAGGCTGTGCTTAGATATTGCAGCTATAAACAGTCACAAGTTATTTACTTGCACAGGGGAGGATTACAGTTGGAAGAAAATTGTGGAGCACAGCTGGGTTGTAAATTCATGAATCATCGCAATTAGGGCAGATAAGAAGATTTCTGAAAGTGTGATGTGTAAACAAGTCCTGGAAACAAGAAGAGCCTTGAACACCAAGGTATCCCACACTTGTTTCTGACCACGTTGTTGAGGCAGTGGGATGTTAGAAACCCTGAAGTTTTGGCATTGTGAGGGCAGCAGTGCAGGGGGGGGCTCACCTTGCTGCAAGGTGCATCTGTGACCGAGAGCATCCCACTGCAGGCAGGCTCTCTCCCAGCCTCCTGCCGTGGGGAATGGCATGGATAATTCACAAGAGCTGCTTTTTTTAGGAAAAGAGTTCAAAGACTGTGTCTGTCCTCTTCTCTGAAACAGGCTGTCTTGTCTCAGGCTATTCAGTGTATAAAATTAGCCTGGTCATGTGCTTTTAAAACATTTAAGTTAGAGCTCTCCCTTAATGGAATTCTGTGCTCTTGCATGGAGTGCTCCTGCAGAGATCAAAGGTGGTTTGCCCAGCATCAGTGTGAGGGAGATGGCAGAGGCAATTGCTACCCCAAAGCTGGTAGCCTAAATCAGCCAGGCAGAAAGGAGAGGTGAGGAAAATAAGTATCCCAGACCCTGGAAGTTGGGGGGTGTTGGTTTAAATGAAAATGGGACAAGGCTCAAGGGAGATGAGCTGCAGAGCCGGGTGTGAAACCTCGCTGTGTTGTGCTCTGCAGTGTGCCAGAGGTGGATTTAGAAAGGGGCTGAAGGGACTTTGCCACCCCTTGCATGGGCATTGTGACAGTGAGTGATGCACCAGTTGTCCCTGAGCTCTGCCACCCCCCACCACCTTTGTGGTATCAGCAGCCAGATTGAGATGAAAACTGA